ACTCATAATGAATTCCTTTTTTCAATAAATCATATAACGGCGCCGCCACCTTTGCAAAATCTTCCACGAACCTATGGTAATAATTGACCATACCCAAAAAAGACTGCAACTCAGCCTTAGTGTCAGGCCGTTTCATGTTCGATATATTCTTCAAATTTTTATCCAAAGGTTTCACTTCAATTCCATTAATCCGATGACCCAAATATTCAACCTCCATTACCCCCAGAACACTTTTCTCCTTACTAGCTCTCAAGCCTTTATCACGAATTCTCCTAAACACTTCCTCCAAACGTTGATTATGCTGCTCCGCCGTCACTCCCGTAATTAATACATCATCCATATAATAAAATACTCCTTCCAATCCTTGGAAAACTGACGCCATGGTCCGTTGAAAAATGGGAGCAGATACACTCAACCCGAATGGTAATCTACAAAACGCAAACAACCCCTTTGGAGTCGTTATCGTCAATAATTTACGGATCTCCTTTCTCAAAGGTAACTGCAAATACGCCGACGAAAAATCCACCTTGGAAAAATATTTCGCACCCTTCAACTGAGCCAAAATCTCTTCAATCCTAGGCAATGGATATTTAACCTCCACCACCCATCGATTGACCGTGACCCTGAAATCCGCACAAAGTCTTAATTTACCATTTGCCTTTTTAACTGGCACTAACGGAGTTGCCCAATCGCTATATCCCACAGGAATAATAATGCCGTCCTTCACCCATCTATCTAATTCCTCATCGATCTCCTTCCTCCATTCGAAAGGAACTCGCCGACAAGCCAAAAAGATCGGTGAAAAACCCTCCCTCAGTTGAACATCAACTTGATAATCATTTAAACAACCTAATTTTTCATCAAAAATAATGCCATACTGCCTTACTAAAATAGGAATAGCTTGATTAACCTTATTCCAATCCTCTTTTCCCCCGGCCACAATTTGCTTCTCATTTCCCTCATCATTATGATCCAACTTACTCGATTTCTCCATTATCTCCTCCGAAATTTCACAAATTTTATTATCAATATTATCCAAAATTTCACTCTCTCCAACATCCATTATTACATTATCACTAGTATCAAAAATATTCCAATAATTATTGGGAGGACCAAGCTTGGTAATCCAATCCCACCCCATAACAGTCTCAACATTTTCCTTTACTACCCATAAATCAAGGAAAAATATAGTATCATTAAGATTAACCCCCAATTTGGCCTTTCCCAACACAGCGACTTCCGACCCATCAAATTGCCTGACACACATAGCCTCTTTTTCCAGTTTACCCCCAGGCCAATACTTATAAAAATTCTCCTGCGACATTAGGGAAATACTAGCCCCGGTGTCAAATAACATCTCTATATTCCTATGGTCAATTTTCAAACTAACCCTCGGACACAAACATGGTCCATCTAATCTCTCCGTCATTAAAATATCATATGTTTTAATCGGAGAATCAGCGTTTATTTTATCTAAAATAATAATTTCATTGGCATTCTCATTGCCTCTTAAATTCAACTCGGAATTTAAATTTTTATTACTGACAATTACATTTCTTTTAACAAGATTCGTGGGACATCTTTCCCAAATAAAATTCTTAACATCCCTTCTAAAAGGATAACGAACAATATTCCTCGGATATTGTTCCCACCTAAATCGACTAACCTCCCTCTCAGAGAAATTACGAGAATTATTTCTTATTTTAATTCTATCATTTCCCTCATTTCGACTAATAATATTTGTTTTATTATACAAATTTTTCCGAACTCTCGGAGCCCCGACTCCTATATGATTCACCTTGCAATCATATAGTCAACACGAATTTCGTGATACTTCCATGCAGTCCACAGCTACATGTCCCGGCCTTTTACACTTAAAACATAATCGGACCCCATTTAAACTAACCATTTTTACATTGGCATTTCCTATATCAGATCTCTTTAACGGAAATCCATCTTTAAACCTTTGCTCTGGGACTACGCAGGTATCCCTTTTATGTCCTCGCCATCCGCAACGATGGCAAATGATCATTTCAACAAATCTTTTATTTTCATCGTAATCATTAAATTTCTTATTCATATTTCTATCACCCACCTGGCTCTTAACCGGACCTTTGCTCTCCTTCATCAACGCATTGATGGCTTCTTTCATTTCTTTCATTTCCAGGAGGATCCTATCTGACCTCTCCCCAACATTTCCAGCCTTGATTTCCTCTAAAACATCTTTTAGATTACTTTCCAAGTCTGCTATTTTCTTCCCATAAATATCCGATATTAAATTAAAATACGTTTCCTCCATTTTCTTTTTATAAACATCTGACACCGCAGTGTCCTTCTTCCAACTGCAATACATGCCTGCCAGTACCGCAGTACCCCTTTTTACCAACAATTTCAATATAATAATCAATAAATACATCATTAATAATATTCCCACAGTAATCAACTGTTTACCTAAATCCAATTCATTAAAGTTCTTATACATAACTTTATAACCCAAATCCTTATAAAAGAGAACCTTATCCCCAAAACTATACTCCCCACTAGGCCTAAAAAAATAAACCATTTGCTCATAAATTTTTTTTAATTAATACTAATAATCAATTACAAAAATTTAAATATTTGTAGAAAATATTAATACAACACTAAAATAAAAACTTCTCTATTAGAATCGTATAATGGTAGTACAAATGCGCAGTCAAAAATTCTTAAAAAAATTATATAATTAAAAATTTTTTGTTTTACCTTCTAAACCGAATAACTCCTAGGAAACATAAAACTTTACTCGAAATCTAAACTTATACACTAAAAAAATCCTAAACACCAACTAAAAGAAAAAACAGAAACAACTTAAATAAACTCTCGAAACTAAAAAAACTGTCAACAACTATGCAGAATTACTAAACTCAGAAATACTAAAGAATTCCTTTATTCGTAATTTTTTTTAAAATACAAAAATCATTAATTTTACACATATAAGAAAAATCTATTTTTTTAAACACAAAAAAAATAATAATAATGAATAAATAATATATCTTATTACATCTAATTTAATTTCCAATCAACCTTATTTTAATCGGTTGATTGGCATTTCCCGTAAAAAATATAAAATGTTCGCGTATTTACAAATACGACATGCCACCCCTTTATGGGATCAGGGCATGTCGATAAACAAAAAAAACTTTCATGTCGATAAACAAGAAAAAATCTTTTTCCACATGTATAAAAAAATGTTCATGCTCACCCTCATGTTCAATGAATATTCCTCACCCTAAGCCGACATGGGACTGCTCCAAAAATCCCCTGCGCTAGTCGTCGGTAGAACCTCAGTAGCTATTGTAACCATAGCTCTCTGCAACATATCCACTTCTCGATGTCCGCGAGAATTCCCTAATTGTGGCAGTCCATCATTATAACTTGATCTTTTCTGAGGACACCTATCCGCAGGTATGGCCGGTCCCATAAGAACAGAAGTTGTCGGCTGCTCTACACTCATCTCGTTATATATCATTTTTTTTTCTTCATATGGTTCTACCCACGGATTTTCCGATAACAGCCCCATAGGTACACGATCCCTGGGTAGTTGCGTGCATTGATGTCTGAGATGACCCTCTCCCTGACAATTATAACATTTCTTCCGTCTACTCCCATACGTCGGTGGTTGATTTTCCTTCCGGCGTCCTTCTCCCAGGGTCATACCATCGTGCTTCTTGATTAAGGTGACCTGGAGATAAAAATCTCCCAGGTCTACTAAACGGGATATTGTTTCCATTTCTCGAAAGTGATAAAATATTTGTGGATAACTGGTTCAAGGCTATACGTGGACCTTTTCTTTATTTTGATTTTCAGAAATTAGTAGTAATGACTTAAAAAAAAAAACTTTATAACAACAAAAACTTCAATTTAATAAAAAAAAAAATATAATTTACTGGTTCAAGAATATGCGTTGACCTTCTCTTTATTTTAATTTACAGAAAATGGTAGTAATGATTTCTTGTTAAAAAAAAATTGACTTTATAACAACAAAAACTTCAATTTAATAAAAGAAGTATAATTTAATATTTCGGGAAATTTAATTGGGAAAAAAAAATAATTTTATAATTAAAAAAAAATCTTTTACAAAAAAAAAATTTAAATTAACTAAACACTTTTGTTATTTAATTTTCTTTTTTTTTAAAAAAAAATTCACTTCATACACAAAAACAAAATCGATCCATAATTGCGTTCCAAAACACAAACACGTTTTAAACTTTTCCTATTTCCTTTTACGGTATTCCACACATACACAGACCATTAAATTATAAACAAGAGAAAAGGGGGGGTTACTCGAAATCTAAACTTATACACTAAAAAAATCCTAAACACCAACTAAGAGAAAAAACAGAAACAACTTAAATAAACTCTCGAAACTAAAAAAACTGTCAACAAATATGCAGAATTACTAAACTCAGAAATACTAAAGAATTCCTTTATTCGTAATTTTTTAAAATACAAAAATCATTAATTTTACACATATAAGAAAAATCTATTTTTTTAAACGTAGGTAATGAGTATTAGGCAGAAATATGGAAATAAGATCAGGAATTTAAGACAGTAATATTTGGTATATTATCTTATGTCTAGATGTATATGGTACATCTAATTTTGATCATTATTTGGTATGCCTTAAAACTCATTGAATGGTGTTATAGGTATTCCGTCATAGGAAGCTGAAAGACCTCATGAACAGCAGGACAGAAAGGATTGTTAAATATTTAAATATGTGAAAAAAAAAATTACGAATAAAGGAATTCTTTAGTATTTCTGAGTTTAGTAATTCTGCATAGTTGTTGACAGTTTTTTTAGTTTCGAGAGTTTATTTAAGTTGTTTCTGTTTTTTTCTTTTAGTTGGTGTTTAGGATTTTTTTAGTGTATAAGTTTAGATTTCGAGTAAAGTTTTAAGTTTTTTTTTTAGTGGGTATTTATTTAATATTATTAGAAAGAATTATTTTGGGTTGTTAAGTTATATAATTGAGAGTAAAGGGCATTTTTATTATATTTAAGGTAACTTTTTTTATTGTTGCCAGCTGACCAAGATCGAAAGAGTGGGTTGATTCGGTTTTAAAGTAAAACAAAATTTTTGTTGTATACATATTACATAAGAGAAATTTTGACAATGCAATGTACTACAAACTATACAGATACATGAGTTTAAGGATTTCTATACTTTTATATTTAACTTAAAAGGTGTAAGATAGAAAGTATGTAATGAGTATTAGGCAGAAATATGGAAATAAGATCAGGAATTTAAGACAGTAATATTTGGTATATTATCTTATGTCTAGATGTATATGGTACATATAATCTTGATCATTATTTGGTATGCCTTAAAACTCATTGAATGGTGTTATAGGTATTCCGTCATAGGAAGCTGAAAGACCTCATGAACAGCAGGACAGAAAGGATTGTTAAATATTTAAATATGTGAAATTTATGAAAATATATATGGATATAGACTTTTGTAATAAAGTGTGTATTATTTAATTATGCATTTTGGGTTTGTAAAGGGATGAATATGTATGGGATAATTTATTATTAATTAAGGTTAATATATTGCATAGGTAACATATGATATATTTAATTATGAATGAGAATTTGAAGGAATTGAAGTATGATGAAGTCAGAATAATATCTATAATGTTAGATGTGGATAGTTATTTTGATTTAGTGTCTGCATTTAGTGTATATATAAATTGGATAGGAATTTGTATGATACATTAGATGGTGTATAATATTTTTTTTTCCAAATTATGAAATCTTTATATTTAATATATATATTTTTTTTTTAAATTATAAATTTTTATAAGAAGTTTTATTTGCAATTATTATATTATTTGTGTGGTATGCAATGATGTGAAGGGAAAATATTTTTACAGATAAGGTCAGCCCGTGTTGATGGGTATGCCTTGAAGTGAGAATATTGTTTAGTTTGCATACTGGGGAAAGTTTTTTTTTTTGTAAATTTATGCTGCATAATACATTTTTTTAAATCTTTTTAATAATTTTATAACACATCACATTTTACTATTTAATTATGAACATATTTTTAAAGAAAAGACTCAAAGTATTTTATATTGTGAAGGTATATTAAAAATTCTTTACATATATACCATATAGCCCATTATATTATCAATTTTTGTTACTTTGCATTCTACATTTTTGTGAATTTGTGCTAATTGTGATGACAGAGTTAGGTAGAAATGGTATATTTTTCTTAGGATACTGAGTAATTCCTAGATGGAAAATATTGTATTTTCTACATATTATATATTTGTTCCTTCATATATAATATTAAATGTATTTATATACGTATGTATTGTAATTTTATTTTTAATCTTTGTTCGGCCAAGTTTCGCAATTATTTTTAATACCTAAAGATGGATTTTTATATTCATTTTAGGAAATATTTATAAAGATGTAGCTTTGTTTTTTTTTTCACATGATAGAATGAAAATTACATGTGTTGAAATTGCATTTCACACACAGACAATATGTTCACATTACATTATTATATGTGATATCATTATTTCTTAATTACCATGAATCATATCCAAATAATGTGTATTATAGCTCATATTTCCCAAATATCTTAAAATGAATGAATTATTATGTTTTGCTGATATTACATTGTCCATATTAATGTTGCATAGATTATAAATGCAGATACCCCAATGTACAGGTCATTATTGATAATATGTGTTTTCGCGATTATATATTGAAAGGTATCGGCGATATTATATTATAAATCATCATAAGGGAAGACGATTTGATAAATTCCCTGAACGTCTTCAAGGCGTCTTGATACAATTCAAAAAGGTGATTCGATACAATTAAAAGGGGGGATTTGATATAATTCAAAGAGGTGATTCGATACAATTCAAAGAGGTGATTCGATACAACAACACCACAAAGAGAGGGACGCTGGGCTTGTGAAGGGTGGGCGTGTTGTAACTGTTGAAAAAAAGAAGAAATAAATTTAATATAATACATCAAATGTCAGTTATTTTCTGACAGGGGAATTAAGTTTTCCTTGGGGGAAGAAGAGGAGATAAGGATCACGGGGTTTTTTTCATTGTTCGGAAAAACCCGTGGTGGGAGATTGGGAGATATTGGATTTGATGTCAGCTGTGGACCTTTGGATGTCATCTGTGGACCTTTGAGAAATGAAGAATTGGATAATTATATTATGTTATATTTTTCTACATATTTTATGTTAGATTATTGTGGTTTTATTGGAAATAAAGATAATTATGTTAAATATGGATCGTTGTTAATGGTCAATGGTATTTATTTAATATTATTAGAAAGAATTATTTTGGGTTGTTAAGTTATATAATTGAGAGTAAAGGGCATTTTTATTATATTTAAGGTAACTTTTTTTATTACTAAAAAAAAAACTTAAAACTTTACTCGAAATCTAAACTTATACACTAAAAAAATCCTAAACACCAACTAAAAGAAAAAACAGAAACAACTTAAATAAACTCTCGAAACTAAAAAAACTGTCAACAAATATGCAGAATTACTAAACTCAGAAATACTAAAGAATTCCTTTATTCGTAATTTTTTAAAATACAAAAATCATTAATTTTACACATATAAGAAAAATCTATTTTTTTAAACACAAAAAAAATAATAATAATGAATAAATAATATATCTTATTACATCTAATTTAATTTCCAATCAACCTTATTTTAATCGGTTGATTGGCATTTCCCGTAAAAAATATAAAATGTTCGCGTATTTACAAATACGACAGCTATCTTATTGAATTAGTAATGAATCGGCTTCAGATAAATTATCTGGTTCAAGCTATTCTGATATTTCTCAGAGGGCACTCAAAAAGAGCTCTTCTAAATACAAAATTTCTGCAGCAGCATGATGTCTAAGACTCCATCTTGTCGGGCATACATTTTTACTTCTTGTAGCACAAGTCTTAGAAATAATTCTATTCAGAAATCTCTGTCTCTTAAGATATCTTATACAATCCAGAAATTTTGCCTATTCATTGTTATTAGTGGAGATAAATTAAAGAGAAATATTTTTGGTTGTTAAATTTTCTTATATCCATCAGTGTAAGGTTTAAAAAAAATATTAAAAAAATATATTTTAAATTTTACGGGATAAGATATTAATAAAAAATAATTTATTCAAAAAAAAATATATATATAAACGTTTTAATTTATATTTTAATAAAGAAATTGATATAAAAATATACTGAAAAATTTATGAATGTAAACAAAGAATTCTAAGAGGGAAAAGGGAGTGTTTCAAGGAAACACTCGTAGTTCCCTTTTAGGGTTTCAAATTGTTTTTTGTTTGAGGAGTAGGGACTCGTTTTTGACCCCTATCCTTATTGAAATTTCTCTACCCAATTGATCGAAAAATTTTAAGGATTGGGGACCAGGGTTTCCCAAAACACTAAAAAAATTAGAGGAATAAAAATAAAAGAATTTAGAAGGGAAAAATATTTTTTCTTAATTTTATTTCTTGGAGTTCCATGGGGTTTAGCTTTAGCCTGGAGGTAACACATGAGACATCCCAGATAAGTCTTTTGCCACCAAGCCAAGATGTTAAAGACATGTCATCGGGATGCTTACCATCCGCATTTAGGAAACCAGGGCTCCAATATTTTGGGGAAACCGGCCTAAATCAAAGATTTGCCAATCAACCTATTCAGATTGTCATGTCGCAAAAAACGGCCACTGACTTTTAGGCAAGAGAAACAATGTCTAGAAAATGGATCAACTTGCTTATTGCAGGTAGCACAGATGTCAATAGATGGGATAAAACACCCTAGCCTATGGCCAATGGCAATTAGAAACTCATCGTTTGTGAGTAACATTTCCTCTATACCACTCGGAATCGCATCTAGACATTCATGGCCAGGTTTTTTTTTGCTTTTCTGAGTAGTTGAAGGTTAGTTAGATTGGGACACATACAAAGTTTTTCAAATGTACATTGAAGCATTATAACTAGAAAGCTCTTTAAATGACTTGACATCGGGTGCTCAGATCCTTGGAGAACTAGAGTAAGCCAAGATTGTTTGGCCGAAGTTAAAAAGGGATAGTTCAACTTAATAAGCGAGGAAATAGAGTCGTTAAAGGATATCAGTGAAGAAAGGAAACAAGCAATTGCCATTAAAATGAGGGATGAAAATCCAAGTCCTCTCGAAAAAATTTTTAAATTAATTTTCACTTTTTGCTAAAATTTAAAATTAAATTATTGAAATAGAGCACTTTGTAATTCATAACTTTTTATATTTTTTCAAAAATTTTTGCTAAGAGATAGGTGGGAGATTGAGGATTCCCCTCCCCCTCCCCCACTCTGTACGAACTTGATATGGATAGTTTTTTCTAAGCATCTTACTCAAATGACGAGCTCTATTATATCTTTTATTTTAGCTTACTTTTTAGAGAAAAGATGATAAAAACACCTAATTTACTATGTGTCTAAAAAAGTAAATTTAATATTATTTTATTTTTTTTAAATAAAAATTAAATCCAAATTTTAATAGTAATATTTAATAAATAATAATACAGGGTCATTCAAAAAAAGAAAATTGTCAACCAAAAAGGATAAGGTCCGATAAAAAAAAGATAAAAGTCGATCAAAAAAGAAAAATGATCGATCAAATAAAGGAAAAATATTAAAAACATATTAAAAAGATCCAATCAAAAAAGGGAAAGAGTCTACAAATAAGGAAAAGGTCAATCAAAAGAGGGAAAATTCTACGGGAAAAGGAAAAGGCTTTATCAAATAAGGAAAATAGTTATTTTTTTTGTATATTTTAGACGGTAACCTAAATATCAAAAGTATAATTAATTTTAAAATATCGATGTTTCTATTTGTTTAATTTTTCTGGACTCCAAACCAGAACTTGGCCCCGAGATTTTTTACTGAACCCGAACCCTTTATTAGAACTAGGGTTCAAAGCCCTGTTAATTATTTGTAAATTAGCTAAGTTATAAAATTTTTCAATTTGGTTTTTAGTTTTGCGAACAATTCAGTCTTTAAAAATCATTTCCAACCATAACCGAACAGTGGTCTTCACTATATATGCTTTTATTCCAATAAAATTTATATAAGAGAGGGGTAACAATCCTCAAAACTTTTTGTTGGACTCACGTCTGGCTATATTTTATAAATAACTTTTTTATATTAAGATAACCTAAAAATAGTAAAATCCTAACACTCATTTTTAAGTTATTCAAAGTTTAACAGGTTTCCAAATCTGTTTTCTTATTCATATCCTCTATGGGATATTTAAGAAAATCAAATATTAAATCTTTAGTTTCTGGGATTTTCTGGTGATCCATTGTGAAATAAAATGTGACCTGTTTATTTTAATTAATTGTAAAGTGTTACACTTGGAGTTATTTATAGGATTGAGAATCTTACGAGACGGGGAAGGGACTATGGTCGTTACAAGATTAGGTGCGCCGATCAGCTCAGGAATAAAAAGAGAAGGGCTCAGAGCAGG